CATAAACATTATGCATATTATTTAAATCTTTGCCTGACGTTGTATATACAAGACAATGCATATAATATATACACGCCGTCTTATGCATTTATTGTCAAGACACAATGGAGCTTTGAATTCAAAGCACCTGCTACTTAATTTATATAAAGACCATATTAAGTTTCCACATTATGCCTTAGAATAACTGTAAAGATGTATTAATAATATCAAGGCATACATGCGAGCATATCTTTCCTCTTGTTTATGCAGTTCCGTGAAGGTAAAGTTAGCACGCCAGCTAACTAACATTCCTTTAGTTTTGATCAACCGGAAACTAATGCATAAAATGGAGGAAACTGCCTTAACGATTGTCGCTATAACGTTTATATACACAGTTATTGTGCAACAATGTAATGATATAACTACTGCTTCTTGATACGCGTTATATCTCCGCTCAGTGTCAGTAGGCTACTTACCTCACCTCCTTCAGTGACCAACAACTGCAGTTGAGTTCTGCGCTATCTGCATACTGCGCATGCGCAAACCATCCATCCACTAGATGTCCATCCAGAAACTAAGATGAGATTCAAAAAGTTGATATAGTTTGTGGAAGTAATGTCAAAAAATAGATATGCATTATAAAAGTGCATAATCTAATCTGAAACGATCATGAACAACTACAGTGAAAATATTCATTTAATTTCCTATTTATTTTATTTAATGTCTGTTGACAGCGACATGAATAAAATTATTGTAAAATTATGTATTTGTATTCCATCAGCGATGAACAGACATGGCAGTAATCTGTAGAGAAAAAACATTTTGGAAGAGAAATGTCGCCATCTATTGGTTGTCAACTTTAGACCGTGTTGCCAGATTTTTAATCAATACAAGGTTGATTTGAATTTATATTTCATATCAGGACTCAAAATACACAAATAGCTAAATATTTTTTATGAAATTCATCTAACGTTTATCTAATGAAACAAATGATTTAGTTGGCCCTAGTAGAAATTAACTCAGGTGGGGGACTAAAGGAAATTTACATTTAAAAATTATGTTTGTTCATGAAAAACGATTCTAAAAATGACTGGAAATGCTATGCATATTATAAGAATATTTTATATATTTGTAGGAATCCAAGCAAAAAAACATCTTAAACCAGCCTACGCTTTTTGCTGGTCTTGGACGGTTCCCCAAACTTTTGTCTGTTTGCTGGTTTTAGAAGGCTTTTAGACACGTTTGAGTTGGCTAGGGTGTAAACTAAAACCAGCAAACAATTCTGGGCTGGTTTATGCTG